GTTATTATTTACGATGTTTTACGTTAGTATGAGTTTCCACGGAGCACAGTGCCTTAGTGCTCACTCCCCAGTTTTATCATATTTTTCAGGTCAGGATGTCGGGCCGGGAGCGTGACGTGACGTGACGGGGACTCATGATATTTATATTTTGGACTGTATAATTATGATTATGACTTACGCTTCCGCTTACGATACTTGATGACTTTTGATGATGTTTCTATGACTTTTGACGTACTCGTTTTGACGAACTTATTATATTTTGACGAACTTTTAAGAAACTTAAGTTTTCAGTAACTGGACGTTTTTATTAAAGTTAAAACAACGGTTTTTCTAAGTTAAGTCATGATTTTTAAAGGTAGCACCCCGAATCAGTTTTCGCAAAGAAAAAGACTTTATTTTTAAATAACTTTGCGAATTTTAGCGCACTCTGATTTTACAGTAAGGAGGGGTGTTACACCAGCCGCTCCCAGCCGTGCACGACCGTGCCAGCGAGCAGCCCGGGGCCCGACCCAAGCTTTCCTTATAATTTTTCTCAAACCCTTATGTGTGCCTTTGACCTGTTTGACTTCGTTTAGTGTTCTAGGACTATATGGGTTATTATTATGCATTTTGGTCAAGTCTAAATGTAGGACCCAAGTGTTCCAATATCCACAGAACTTTACGAACTACTTGGTTGAATCAAGTTCGACCAATGTATGCTTGTGATTGTTCTCTAAGGTCAAGTAGGTGTTGATCTTAGTATATAATTGTTGTAGGTGTCTGACGAGCCGTGCTCGCTGCCTACACCCGTTTGTGTGCCATTTTCTCTGTTGCTATACCAGGTGGGTTTTAATATAAAATTGTCTATGCCATGAATGATGAATGTTTATTTCTTATGGGTATGATCTATGTATGAATATGAAATATGTAGCCTATCGATGTGAGCTGTTACGGCCATCGGTATGGTTGTCCCCGTCGATATAATACGGTTGCCCTTGTGAGGTAAGTCTCCTTAAGTCCTGATATGGCCGTGCCCTTGCGAGGTACGTAAGCCCATATAGAAGGCCGTGTCCGTAGCGTGGCATGTACTCCCGCCTTCGGGTAATGAATCCCCATTCTGTGGCTAGCGATAGATGTGCAGAGGAGTAATGTGGTTGTTGTGATTTGATAGGAGATGAGACATGATATGATTATCTTATATTCATGTTGCGACCATACCATTTTGACAAATGTTATTTGTGTGCATAGTAGTGAGCACTACTTTTATCTTGTGCTCATTCCCACCTGCTCTTCACGGATGCAGGTTAAGTAGGTGCCGGATGATGGGGGAAAAGACGAGTGGGTTGGTCATGATTATTATGTTTATGATTTCGCTTCCTTTATGAATAAAGTGTGGTCTTTGAGACGTGTTGAACTGTTTTTCAAACTTGTCGTTGTCGGGATTTTGGACCCTTTGTTTGATATTCGTATGAGAGTAATTTATTGAATATCATGAGTTTTTCGATTATGCATGCTATGTGGTTTAGCTAATAATCATGTGGAATTTAATTTCGAAGGGTTAATGAAAACCATGTGAACAACCAGATACGACTTGGTTGATGTTAAATGTTGTATAACGCCCATGTTTTCGAAAATGAGTTCGAAAAATTTTATGCTGGTTTTTGGAAAGTCCGGAATTTCTTTAAAATCAAAGTGGGGTGTTACAAATTCGGCCCCTCAACAAAAGGTAATAACCGAAAAAAAAAACAAAGGTCTAGATGACACTTTTTGTTTATGACTCACGAAAAAAATTGAAAAATTCGAACAAGAATTTCAAAAATTTCGACCCAAAAAAGAATAGAAATTCGGCCCCTCATCAAAAGGCAAACCGAAAAAAAGAAAAAGATATGATAGACAAAAAATCGATCATCACCTCTCAATGAAAGCACCAATGATGACGGATCAAAATTTTGTCTATACGGGGTTGTGAATAATCGCGCACTCAGGGCCTTCGATTACTCACGATAGGTGTATCTAACAGACGCACTCAGGGCCTTCTCCTAGATACCGTGACTTCAAGACGCACTATCGGCCTTCTCTCCGACACTGTATGTAAACACGCACTGACGGCCTTGTTTATCACACGTTAGAACATAAAGTTCCCCTCAAAATTGGCTCACCAATTCAATACTCAATTCAAGACGTAAAATAATGATGAGGTACATGGGGTATTTATAGTTGCAAAATAAATCTAGGCCTAATCAAACTAGATCTCCTATTCTATGCAATAAAATAAATCCTAATGCTAGTAAATC